ATCAACCTATTCTATCATAGTTTCTGTCTTTGGTGATGATAAGAAAGGCTTTCAGGGGCCGTATGTTAATGCACCACATGCAAAGCCATTTGAACTGCAAGGTCCGCAGTTCACACTCACCAGCTGCTCTTCCGAAACCCTATGCAAGGTCGTTATGGGCCAGAATCGACTTTACGGCACTTAACAACAACAAAATCTTTTTTTAGTAGCTCTGTGGCTTCATTTGATTTTTACACTTCCATCTTTATTTTATTTTAATATAAGGCAGATTTCTAATTTCACTTTCCCTCAGTTTCCTTTTCACTTCCCTAGTTATATTTGCTTCTCTAAACATTTATTTTCACACAACTCTAAGAAGTCTCATTTTACAAACAAGGAAAGTGAGGCAAAGGAGTAAGTTACTGCATTTATGCCACTAATTGATGCAATTTAGGATTCAAATCCAGATCTTTTGGTGACAAGTCTTGGTCTCTTTCACCACAGCCTTTTTACTCAAATTGGGGTTCACGGACCAACAGCATTGACATTTCTTTCTTTATTAAAATTGCTGAGTCTTGGGCCCTATCCCAGACCTACAGAATCAGAATCTGCATTTTAACAAACTTGAGAAGTATTGCAGTACATTGTATTTCTCCCAATTTAAGCGATTCTTATGAATCACCTGAGGCACCTGTTGAGCTCCATTTCCTCCTCAATAATTTAACTCAGTAGATCTGGAGTGAGGACCAGGCATCTGCAGTTACACAAGCATCTACCAGATTATTATTAAAGTGGGCGACTGCTTGCGTCTGAAGTGGTTCACCAGCATTGCAGTGTGCTTTTGGTGCGGAGAGGAGTTGTCTGCAGGTCAGGAGGTGCCTTTGAGCCCTCTTCCAAATGGGATGGCATACCCTTCCCCCCAAGCTAAGCATTCCAAACCCAGCAACACCCCAGTCTTCTTTGATGTGGACACGGGAGGGGAGAAAGTTGGTCAAATTGTTTTAGAATTGTTTGCACATATTGTGCCTAAAACTGCAGAACATTTTCATGCAATGCATTATGTACAGAATAAAAAGGCATTGGACCCACAACTGGAACACCTCTCCATTTCAAAAGATGCCTGATACAGGGTGGAGACCTCTCAAATCAGAATGGGACAGGTGAAAAAAGTATTTCTGGTGAAAATTTTGAAGATTTAAATTTCTATTATAAGCATGATCAGGAAGGTTTATTGAGCATGGCAAATGCCGGACTCAATACAAATGGTTCTCAGTGCTTTGTCACAACAGGTCCAACTCCTCACTTGGATGGTAAACACGTGATGTTTGGCCAAGCAGTTAAAGGCACTGGTGTGGCAAAGATATTTGAAAATGTAGAAATGAAAAGTGAAAATCCTGCCAAATTGTGTGTTACTGCAGAATGTAAAGAATTAAAAGAAGGGGATGATGGAGGAATATTCCCAAAAGATGGTTCTGGCGACAGTCAACCAGGTTTCAATAAAATATAGATAAAAATTTATTGCTCAACAGGAGATTTAAAAAACATACTTTTTAAAAAAATCCCAGAACTGGGAAATGGCCATAAAGAAATACGCAAAAGTTTTAAGGTATGTGGAAAGTACAAAGACTGTTATTGAGAAAACAGATAAGCCAAGCTACAACCTCTAGCTTTAAGCTATGTGCTGAACATTGGTACTTGTAAACTGAAGATGTCAAATTGGCAGGGGGCAACTGACAGCTGTTTGGAGGCTCTTGAAATAGATCCATCAAATACCAGAGCACTAAACCGCGTCACTGCAGGTTAATGTGCTAGACTGCAAGGTTGGTTTGAACCTCAAGGATGATGGTTCAAGCTCACCAGATGCTCCTCGGACACCTTAAATGAGGTAGCTATGAGTAGGAATCTACTCGATGGCACTTAACAACAAAACCAGATAGCTCAAGTGTGGCAAGGATTAAAAGAACACAATCAAGCATTGTTGTTGTTGTTGTTAGGTGCCATCGAGTCGGTACCGACCCATAGTGACCTTATGCACAGCAGAACAAAACACTGCCTGATCCTGGGCCAACCTCACTACTGTTGCCACACTTGAGTTCATCGATGCTGACACTTGGCCAATCCATCTCGTTGGAGGTCTTCCTCTTTTTCTCTGACCCTCCACCTTACCAAACATGATATCCTTCTCCAGCGACTGCTCCCTCCTGACAATATGTCCAAAGTATGAGAGACGAACTTTGGTCATCTTGACCTCTAAGGAGCACTCTGGCTGCACTTCTTCCAAAATGGATCTATTGGTTCTTTTGGCAGCCCATGGCACTTTCAATATTCTCCTCCAACACCATAACTTAAAAGCATCAATTCTTCTATGGTCTTCCTTATTCCTGATCTCAAGAAAACTCAGGAGACAGCACCAAAAGATAAAGCCATCCAGCCAGAATTGCTGAAAGTCAAACAAAAGAAAAGGTGCAGAAAGATACAGAGAAGGCAGCTTATGCAAAAATGTTTGCTTAATAAGGAATTCAATTTTGATAAATGTGCATTGATTGTATAAAGGCAATACAAAAATTTAAGGGTGATTGCTTATGATCTGTAATGTGTTTCTTTTATGATTTAGTTTCTCATAGTTTAGGAATACTGATGTTGCCTCACTTTTAATAAAACAATGTTACAATGATATTCATCCTGTTATTTAACTTCAAAAAAACACATCATCTTGATGAATATATGAAAGCTTAACTTTTAATATTACAGTGAAAGCTATGCAAAGCAGAATTCCATGGGACTCCTTGATTTTTCCCTGTCTTGCAAGGGTGCAATCACCACTTTCTATTGTTCTGTTTAGTGGGAAATAATGTGTCCAGGTCAGCAGTTTGAAACTACCAGCTGTTCCGTGGGAGAAAGATGAGGCTTTCTGCTCCCGTAAAGATTTACAGCCTTGGAAACCCTGTACAGGGTCGCTATGAGTCGGAACGGACTCCACGGCACATAACAACAACAACGTGTCCATGTAAACAATGCACACAGTATAACACATAGAATGCTTAAGAAATTAACACATGAGAGGGCCTTGTGGTTTACCAAAGTCCTTATCAGCATGGTGTTTGTGTAAGTATAAGGTATTTGAGGTTTCATGGTGTTTGTGTTAAATATCAGGTATTTGAGGTTTCCTTATCTGACAGGTTTCCACCTTATACAGGTCCTGATTTTACAGGTTTTATTGCATTGTCCCCCTCTGATCTATGATATATATCTCTGGTTGGTTTGTGCTGTGTTTTATGCTTAATAGACAATACACATATCTGTTCATGAAAAATAAAATAAAGTGGGGGACTTTATTTTGCATCACACTTTGAGAATTGCTCTAAGTCAACTGAGAAATATTCTAAACCTACAATTTTAGACACCAAAGGTGATGACAGATTATTTTTCTCACTATCAACTTAGATTGTTGTTGTTAACTGCCATCGAGTCAGTTCTGACTCATCATGACCCTGTATAGGGCTTCCAAGGAGCAGCTAGTGAGTTGGAAGCACCAATGTTGTGGTTCAAACTGGCCTTATGACACAGAGCTTATCCTGTAGCGTCATACTAGGACTTCCTCAACTTAGACTGTTGTTGCAAAATGTCGTTGAGGGTTTCCGAGGAGCAGCTGATGGGTTTGAACAGCTTACCTTGTGGTTTGCAGTTCAGTGCTGATCCTTTTAATCTGGAAAAGGGTGATTGTTGTTTACCATCTAAGCTATTTCTTGGTTTCTCCTAGGCTGTAATCTTTTCAGGAGTAGATCACAGTCCCCTCCCGCTGAGTTGCTGGTGAACCACTGATCTTTTGATTAGTGGCCAGAGCATTTAACCACTGCAGTACCTAAACTCCTTGAAAAACACATACGTAGGCGGTAAAATATCTTCTTTGTCCGTATGTGGACATTAGGTTATAATAGAGGAACACTGGTGAGGAGCTGTGGGCTAACGCATTGGACCACAATGTCAGCGGTTCAAACTCACCAGCCACTCTTCAGAAACCTTACACAGGGTCACTATGAATAAGAACACCACTAACAACAATGCTTAAGCACTTGGCTATAACTGAAGAGCTGGCAGTAGGAACTCACCCAACTGCTTCATGGAAGAAAGACCTGACCATCCTCTACAACCAAGAAAATATGGGGTTGCTATATGTCGGGATCAACTTGACAGCATCCAATAACTGGTTGTAATAATGAGAATCATGTAATAATGAAGAAGATGACAAAAATCTTCAATTTCGCAGAAAATCAAATAAAGAAAACTAAGAGAAAAAAATTCAGTTGACCAAAAATAGTGGAGGCAACCTGGTGACATAGTGAAACACCTACCCAAGTAGAGTTGAGTTTACTTACCCTCTTTCAAACTTGGTCAATGCTGACCGTGAGCCTAGGTCTCTTCACAAATAAAATGAGTGTAACAATAATTTGTCTGTGGAGAAGAACCTATCAACTTTCGGAACTCTTCGTGCCAAGTGTCAACCTCCATAGACCTGAGACAAGCAAACAAGTAAGAAACTGAAAAGCATCGAAGACTTGTTCTTGCCAGCTCAGATCTGCCCGGAAGCTGATGCCACCTGGCCGGAGGTGGGGCGCTGGCGACCAGAAGGGCCCTCCCCCTAGGGCCCCCACCCGCCCTGTGCCGAGTTTGCTCCACCGACTCCAGGGAGACACCCTCTCCTTGCAGCGTCCTTCTGGGCGGACTCCGTCATCAATAAATCATTAAGAACTGCCTCTTCATTGGCTAATGCTTCCACCCGCGCTGGCAGAGGACCAATGAAGAAGAACCTGAGAGAATGCTTCTAAATAGAGAACGCGCGCCCGTGATGTAGAGGCTGGTGATTGGCTGCGGTGGCGCAAGGCGGGGCCGTGCTCAGGCAGCGGGGAGCTAGGCTGGGACAACTCAGTGTGAACAGGGGTGGGTGGGGTACGTGCGTGCGTGTTCTGAGCGCGGGGTCGGCTTGGAAGCTAGCGGGCGCCTAGCGAAGACGTGAGGGTGGCAGGATGTTCAGCTGGATGGGGCGGCAGGCGGGCGGGCGCGAGCGCTTGGGCGGCGCGGACGCGGTACAGACGGTGACGGGCGGTCTCCGCTCGCTCTACCTGCGCAAGGTGCTGCCGCTGGAGGAGGCGTACCGCTTCCACGAGTTCCACTCGCCCGCGCTTGAAGACGCCGACTTCGACAACAAGCCCATGATCCTGCTGGTGGGCCAGTACAGCACGGGCAAGACTACCTTCATCAGGTAACCGCCCCGCCCAGGTCCCTGACCCCAGCACCGGGAGCCGTACTCCCCACGTGCGTGTGTTGTCACCAGGACGCCCTCTTCGGCTTCATGGTGCCGCCTCACCGCAGCTTCTCATCCCAGCATCTATCTGGTGACCTCAGGTTCCCCCTCCGAGCCCAGGCGCCCGCAGCCCCGCCCCGGGAGCGCCGCCTGCGTAGCTGCTGGCTCACCCCAAGCAGGCCAGAGGATACCCGGGGCCGGTTCCCCGCAGGCTCCCAGCTCTCCTTCCTGCTGTCGGAAAGACGCTCTGTCTACTTTATCCTGTCGTCCTAGCCCCATCCTGGGAGAGGAAGCGAGACTGCTGTAACGTCTTTAGATGAAGGAATGGGGCCTGTGATTGAAAATGGGACAGAGGTGCGGGGCATTAGAATGGGCTCTAGGGTCATAGTTGGAGAGAGGAACACCTAACAGAATGACTGGCGTATGACTATTAAACAGTGAATGAATGGTAACAGAGGATATTATCTATACCCCTGTCCTTTGACGTTCTTGCTGTCACCCCCACCACTGTTCCAAGGAAGGCAATAGACTGGGGGGGCCTTCATTCTGGTCTTGCATTGCGTCGCATTTACTTGGCCATAGGAAGTTAGCTGTACCAGCAACCCATTAGGGCGCCCTGTGGAACTAAAGGGGAGTGTCCTATTACTTGTCCTTAGTTTCCATTTCCTAGGTGGGTCGTTTCCTCCTTGCTCACCCTTGATAACTGAAAATTTTTGTCATGCTTGCCGTGTTTCCAAAAGCAAACAATTGGCCATGAGTGGCCTGGTAGTTCACCCAAAGTGGCTTTTGATAGGAAATAATTTACATTGAAACTGAATGCTTTTTGAAACAGCTATATTATTCCTAAAGCCAGCCACTCTATTAAGATTTGCTTTCTTTTGTAAGGAAACTTGTTTTCTTGGTTAAACTCTGTGTCAATTGAAGCAAAGCTACTAACCATTTCGGGCTTTGGACGTTGTTAACAATCTCTTCATGGTTGTTGATGTTCAACAGGTGTTTGAGAAAGCTACATCTATATTTGGATACATGCCATTTCTGTTAAGTAGTGACCTCTTTTTCTCCACTCCAGTGACCTAAATAGCATCTACAAATAGAGGAGTAGTCGTCTCTATGTTAAACTCAGACCTTCTAATACACTATGAATGAATTGAGTAAAGCAAAGACACTATGTATTAAAAATATTGTCCTAGACAATAAATGGAATGTAAAGGAAGAGAAGACTGAAGAAAATAATTATTTTAATTGCTTTATTTGATTCTTATTAATAAGCTGGAAATGGTGTTAAATATGCCACCCCAGTGAACAGCCAACACTTTGAAAGATGACAAACAGATGGTAAATTTAAGGTCAGTAATAACCAGTTTTTAAGTACTTGGAGTATTAAAGTATTATGACCAAGTGGTACAAAATTAGGTATGAATTTAAAAAAGACAAAGAGCATAGCATTATTATAATGATAATATCTCAGACATTAGTGGTGGTGTGTGGGGAGTACCCAAGGCGGTTTCTCCTGTTTGTTGTTGCACTAGAACCTTACTGTGCATGCATGTAATTAGGGAGCCCCTGCTTGATGTGGTACCAACCTGCAGATAATACATCCCCCTCTCAGCTCCCATAGCCTGAGTAATAAGCAAGTCTGAGGAAAGAGAACACAACTCACAGGAACAGGAATCCATTGTTTCATTTGCTTTCTTACTATTTCAATATTTCTTTTGTCATTCTTCTCTATTGAATTATTTGGGGGAGTTTTATGAACTAGCTAAGCATAGTTTTAAGAAAGGTTCTGAGATTTTATCCTTAGCAACTCCATCCAAATGAACCACTTCTCAGTAGGTAACACCAGAGCCATGTGCAACCCCGAGTGAGGGAGAAGTCGCTCTCAGGAAGCGCCTTGTCCTTGATGACATCCCTGGCCTGAGTGCCTTGTTGTTAATGTAGGGGGCGCTAAGTGAACCAGTAAGGTAAGAAGAAAATCAGGTTGGACAAGAAGCTCGATTTAGGCCACAGGAGACCTGAGTTTGGTTTCAAAGTAGAAGTAGAGGAAGAGATGAGTTCCTGGAAGGAAATCCAGGAGGTGTCTCCCCCTCCCACCTCCCCCCAAAAAAGTCAGACATCTTAGAGAGTCCTGGAGCATAAGGGTTGGTTCTGAGTACTAATCATTCTGGTTCCTGCCTCATCCATGGCTCTTTGATCTGTGGGTCAGAGGCCCATGTGACACTGTAGCATGTACACTGGACTGCTCATCACAAGGTGGATGGTTGAAACCCACCAGTTGCTCCTCAGAAACCCTATACAGTGTCGCTGAGTTGGAACTGACTCAACAACACTTAATAACAAAAACAACAAGTGACTGAGCACTAGAAGCTCATTGTTGGATATGGAGTACACTTATCTAAATGTCATAGATTCTTAACCACTTGGCTTCCTGCCATGTGCCAAGAGGTCACTGATAACACAGAATCGACTCAACCAACGGCACTTAACAACAATATGGATGGAAACCTCATCGTCAAGCCACTCAGCAAAGCCTTTGGTGTCCATTCCACAGCTTTAACGAAACCTTACTTTTAGCCTCCTTTTGTTCCATCACTGGGAAGAATTAAGCTGATTTTAGGAGCCATACTATGGCACTGCGGGATAATGCACTGTACCACAAGGTCAGTTTGAACCGCAAGGTCGGTGGTTCAAACCCTGTACAGGGTCACTTTGAGTTGGAACCAACTCGATGGCACTTAACAAGAACAACTAACATTTGGAAGGAGCGGTGATTATGGTAGGGGGTTACAAGTTGGGCTGCTAAGTATAAGGTTAGCAGTTTGAATCTACCATCCCCTCCACGCAAGAAAAATGAGGCTTTCTGCTCCCATAAAGATTTACGACCTCAGAAATCCTATACAGGGTCATTGTGAATCAAAACGAACTTCATGGCACATCACCACCACCACTCACATATGGTGGAGTCCTGGTGTGGTGCTGTGAGATAAGCTCTGGACTGCTAACCACTTTATCCTGCAAAGTGGCTGTTGGACTCTTAGTAGCCCAGTGCTTAACTCACTATACCACTAAGGCGGCTTCCCATATGTTAGTGGTGCTTGTGTTGGTTGTGTGCTGTTGAGTTGGTTCCAACTCATAGTAACCCTGTATAGGGTTTCCTGGGCTAGTTCAAACTCACCAGTGGCTTCTTGGAAACCCTATGCAGGGATGCTATGAGTCAGAACTGACTCAACAGCACTTAACAACTAATACACAGCAAGGAGTCCTGATGGTGTAGTGGGTTACATGTTGGGCTGCTAACTGCAAGGTCAGCAGTTCAAATCCACCAGCAGCTCCAAGAGAGAAAGATGAGACATTCTGCTCCTGTAAAGATTTACAGCCTCAGAAATATATAGAAGTGTGTGCCTTGTGCCAAGGTAAAGGTCTCTTAGATGGGGTGGATAAGGAACCTGGATAGACACACCTGCATGGAAGATCATCAGGGACTCAAGTACAAGGAAGAGCATGAATAGAGAGAGGGTGTTGGTGAACTCTTTTCTGACCCATATCATAAAAGTGGCCCAAAAGGAGATTTCAGATATGATAAAGATATTTGTCAAAGTCTTTCGGGTAAAAGCTGAACATTTGATAACCCTGTTTCTCACAGTTTTGTTTCTTAGAAGACAGAGGATGCAGTGAGAGGAATGATTATTCTATCTCACCAGCAAGGAGCTGTTAGTCAGATGTCCGAGTTTTCTAGTGCTGCTATAATACAAATACCACAAGTGGGTAGCTTTACTGAAAAGAAATTTGTTTTCCCAGTTCTGGAACCTAAAAGGCCAAATCAGGGTCTCGGCCATGTCAGTTCCTTCTTTGTTGGTAGCCCTGGGTGTTCTTGGTTCCTTGATGATCATCATATGTGTGTATCTCTGTGTCTCATCTGCTTTTTTGATAAATAAGAAGTGATTAGATTTAGAACTTAACCCACTTGGGTTTGATCTAATTAAAAAAAAAAAAAAAAAAAAAAACCTCTTATCTATTTCCAAACAGGATTACATCCCCAAGTATAGGGCTTAATATTCCAACTCTTATTTGGGGGGAACACAAATTAAAAATATTCCATCCTTTGACCCCCAAAATATATGTTCTTGCCAATTGTAAAACATATTCATTCATCCTATCACATCATCCTCAAAGTCTTAACCCATTCTAACACTAATTCTAAGGTTTAAAATCTCATCTTCTGTATGGTCTAAATCAAGTATGGTAAGACTGTGTGTGTTCCATCCTGGAGCAAAATTCCTTTCCATTTTTGAACCTGTGAAATCTATGATATACTTGCTTCCAAAGTACAATGATGGAACAGACACAAGGTTGACATTTCCATTCCAAATTGGAGGGAAAATAGGAATCATGGGTACCAAACCAGTCCAAAATCCCACATGGAAAATTTCACTGGGCCCATGTTCTTGGCCTGATGAAACAGCAGTTCCCAACCCCTCAACGTTGTATAGTGGCCCCATTTTCTTGCCTCACTGACATGGCAACCTTACCCCCTCAACTTTGGGCTACTGGACCCATTCTCTTGGCCCATCTAAATGGCAGCCTCACCCTCCAGAATTGACCCAACTCTTGGAAACTTAGGAAGTGGGAGGCCTACTACCTCCAGTGCTCCTTCGGACAGTCCTGAGATAGTGCCTTCCTTTTCTTGAAGGATAGCAGGTGCTGGGAAGCAAGTGGTTTCATTGGCCCAGTTCCTGCCTGTAAAGTTCAGAAGGTTGGAAGCTTTCCTTCAATTGGCCCTGTCTCTGTCCCTTTCATTCTAAGCTGATAGGATTTCTGCTATGGAGGTTGATTAGCTCCTTTAGTCATAGGCCTAATCTCTTTAACAAAAAACTGTGTAGCCACACTCTTAGTGTGTTTGAAAGTATATTTCAGGACATACTTTCGTAGTTTGTACAACAGAATGTTCCAAATCTTTAAGT